CTTACAGACCCTAATATGCCGAGATCACTTCACAGCTGAATATACAGCCGGAGCATTAAACCTGTTCAACCAGGAAAAAAGGAGAAATCAAGCAATTTGTCATGGCCAATGGCATGGCATTAAACTTCTCGCTAGCAAAGGCAGGAGGTCTTTGTAGGGTGATGGATAGTCTCTGCTGTACTACAATTGAAGACTTACAATAAAACATTTCTAATTATGTTAACTATCTAGAAGATGTAGCCAACCACACTTTTACTTTAAATATTCACTTTCACCTATCTAACATCATTTCAGCTGCTATTGACTTTTTTATTGTCGTATGCCTGCTTATAGCAGTTTGCACATTTGCTCGATGTTTTATACTTGTCAAATAAACCATGAATTTTCCCACCTGATTTCTACTCTCTTGCTATTTCAAAATGGGTAGGCAGGAATAGTTAGGGACAACTCTATGTCCCAGTTCAGCAGGAAGAAGTTGCAGAAGTCCAACCTCTGCCCCTAACCCTCAGTGACAAATAAGAATATTTTTGAAATAGCAAGAGATGGGAATGAAAGGAGGGACCCGAAGAATATTAGAATAGTCTTAGCTTTCGCACAGCCATTCTGCCCTAACACAGCCATTTTTGCGTAGGCTTTACCCCTGACACACTTTGCCAAGCAGTCTGCACAGCCTGCACGTACCTCTTGCCCTATAACCATTCATCACCTTTCCCAAAGCTGGCTCCGAGGACCAGTTTCCCAGGGTCAGGTCCTAGATTACTCAGACCTGCTTGAGCATGTCCAGTCCTCCTAATAATCTTTCTTCTGAGCATTTGTGAAGATATATTGTCATGAACCATCCATAACGACCTCCAACCCACCACTGGGAGGCATCTGTATATCACCCAGGCTTGACAATCTCCAGTTCACCACCTGAGGTCATGAGATGCTGATGCTTAGTGATGTCAATATCCAAGACTTATGAGGCTGCTCTTGGCATCAAAGGATGCAACCCTGGACATTCCCTTCAGTCCAAACCCCTCTGGGTCTGAAATCCCCTTGCCCAAAGGGCCTTAAATATACCCAGTTCTCAGTCCTTCAGGGCTACACTCACCTGAGTACCTGCCCCATTTCCATCTATGAAAGGTGAATAATAAACTTTTCTTCCTTCTTTGTTGCAATCTTGCTATATTCCCATGGCACTGGCCTACATGTTCTTACTCATAAGTGAGACCTGAACATTATCTTAATAGCACAAGGGAGAGAGTGGCAGTCACAGCACACTGCCAGGGGAAGGAGCAAGGAGGAGCACATAACCACACAAAGGCTTCTTGATGCAACCAGGGGAAGTGAGGACTAGTTAGAGTCCCAAATTTCATCTGCACATGCATTGCTTGTGTACCTAATCCTGACTTGCACCCCACATCTCTATAGTAAAATAAAATGAAAAATTAGAACAATAATAAACATTTCAGCATTCAGACTTAAACAACATATCTCAAAGTTTCTTTTAAAATTGAGCATACCTGGCCAGGCATGGTGTTTAATGCCTGTAATCCTAGCTTTGGGAGGCTGAGGCAAGAGGATTGGTTGAATCCCAGAATTTGAGATCAGCCTGGACAACATAGTATGGCCTCATCTCTAAAAACAAAACAAAACAAAAGTTAAAAAAAGCACAACAGTACTTTCATTTTTAAGCCATAGTGCATAGGCAGTAAGCTTCTGATAAAATAAAAATAAAGACACAACAAGAGCCAACAGAATTCAAGATGCAAAAGAGGAAGCTCTGCTCTAACCTCTGGGAATTGGTCCTCCTGTATGTATGTGTCTTCTGAGTAGCAGTCAATGCACCACTCAAGGGAGGGAACTCAAGGGACCTTTGCATTAGTGGAATTTCAGCATGTTCCCATGGGGGTAGCCCTTAATGAGGTGTAGACCTGGTGAATGCTAGATAGTTGGGGTGGTGATGGGGCTGTAAAGCAGGAGGGGAGTATATAGCCCTCAAGGAAGTATAGGGAGGGATAAAGAGAGAAAACTTCAGGAACGCAGAGTCCATGCAAGTAGAAGGAACACCAAACATGGACACGACAAAGTCCTCAGGGTGACATTTCCTAATTTTCTTGTTTAAAAGGATGAATTTCAAAGACACAGTTGCTCTGAATCCCTTTACTGAAATATTCATTCTTTTACTCTTTGACGGGGCTCCCTCACCTTTCCTCCCCACCAAAGGACCATCTGGGAATGGGGAGAAGACAGGGTCAAGGCTTCAGATCTGAAAATTGTGCAAAGACATGAAGCAGCTGGACTCTGTTTTCTGTCCAGAGGTGTCAGCAGAACGTGGCCCCAACAGACCCACTGTGGAAGTGTGATAGGATCTTGTCATTCTCCTGAGGAGGTGGTTTCTTTTTCAGACTTAAAAACTTTTTCTTTTTCAGATACGTTTTAGGTTCATCATTTTTTTTTCTGTTTCTGTGAATTTGATTACTTAATATTCTGCATATAAGTGGAATCATGCAGAAGTTGATGTGTAACTGGCTTATTTCAGTTGATATCGGGTCCTACAGGTTCATTCATGTGGCAGAATACTTTTGACAGGATTAGTATCAATGCCTCCTTGTGTGCTTTGTAGAATTCTGCTGGGAAGCCATCAAGTCCAGGACTGTTTTTGTAGGCAATTGTCTTATGGATGGAGTCTATTTCTTGGGTAATTTTTGGTCTATTTAGGATTTCGATTTCTTCTTGTTTCAATTTTGGGAAGTTGTGTGATGTCAGAAAGTTCTCCATTTCATTTAGGTTTTTGAGTTTGTTCCTCTATTGATGTGCATAGTAACCTCGGATAAATCTTTGAATTTCTTCAGGGACAGTTGTAACATCATCTTTTGCATTTCTAAGTATGTTTACTTGGGCTTTTTCTCCCTCTTTTTCTTAGTCTTACTAGGGATCTCTCTTTCTTGTTTGGCCTCTCAATGAACCTACGTTTGTTTTTTCTATGACACCTTTGTGTTCTATGTTTCGTAGTTAGGATTTTATATTGATAATCTGGATTCTTCTGCTGAAGTTTGGGTTTTGATGGTCTTGCCTTTCCAGCCTTCTTAGGTTTGGTACTAGTCTGTTTATTTGTGATCATTCTGATTGTCTTAAATTTTTATTTTATTATTTTATTATTTGAGTTGGAGACTCACTGTCACCAAGGCTGGAGTGCAGTGGCATGCTCAAGGCCACTGCAACCTCAACATGCTGAGCTCAGGTGATCCATCCACCTTAGCCTTACAAGTAGCTGAAACCATAGGTGCCTGCCACCACACCTGGCTAATTTTTTGATTTGTTTTAGAGATGAGGTATCACCATGTTGCCTAAGCTGGTCTTGAACCCCTGGGCTCAGGCAATCTTCTTGCCTCGGCCTCCCAAAGTGCTAGGATTACAGGTGTGCCACTGCACTTAATCAGTGGTGATATTTTTATTACATTGTGTTCTGAGAAGATGCATGGTGATATTTCAGTCTTATGGAATTTGTTTAATGCTTGATTTATGGCTGAAGGATGTTGTCCCTCTTGGAGTGAGTGTGATGATTAGTGAAATGTACATTCCATGGGCATAGAGTTGAGGTTTCCAGATCTCTTTATGGATTTTTTGCCTCAATGTTCTATCTAGAGTTGTTAGTGGGGAATTTAAGTCTCCAATTATAATTGTGCCTAAGTCAATGTTCTCATTTAATTTGCTTGGTAGTTGATTTATAAAACCTGGTGTTTCTGTATTGAGTCGCTATATGTTTCAGATGGATATTTCTTGCTGGTGGACTTAATCAATATGTAGTCTCCTTCTGTATCCTTTTCAGTTTTTGATAGCTTGAAGTTGGTTTTATCTGATATTAGAATAGCTACCCCTGCCTTCTTCTGTTTTCTATTCACCTGCAAG